ACGAATACGAATTGAGAGAACGTTCTCTCAACATTACATATTTTACAATGCACAAATATGTTACTGGTATCCGCCGCTTCTGTCAAATCAAAGTTGTTAAAAAAATTTTCCCAGTCGAAATGAAAAGAGGGGAAGGAAAATGATAAGTTGCGATGGACTCAAAACCACATTTTGGTACTAGATTTGTCACTAGAGTTTTAACGCACGTTTTCCCACCAACTTTGTTTCATAGGAAGTATCTACGGAGGAGTGTAATTCGGAAAGTGGTGGAATTTACTTCTAAATTGGGTGAAAAATAGAGTTTAACCCCATTGTATAAAAAGAAAAAAAAATATGTTCGGGGAGGACAGCAGGTGCTGTCGCCCCACAGAGAAAGACATCATGTGATGTCCTTCTCCAGTGATGACGAAGGGACAGCATCTGATGTCGCCCCACTGGAGAAGAACGCGGAAAATGTTGGTTTTTGGCTTCACCTTCCTCCCCCGCTTTCTCAATGGCTATTTTAAGGCCACGGTCCCACTGAATGTGGCAGTTTAGGTACTCGGCATCTCGGAAAAAGTAACCTCTGGGTATTCCGAAAATGTGTTGGGCTTGCTCAGCTTCAGAAAGTCGGCACAGTTCCCCCTTTGAAGCGCCGTCTGCGCGAGCGTGTAGGCACCGGGAAGAGAATGGCTGCACACTTCAGTGCAACGAACTGAAGGGCGACGTTTGGTTCTCACAAAATGTGCTTCGCAATCTGCGTTCGATGTCGTGACTTGCAAAAGAAAAGTATCCACGGGGACTTCACTTTCACCAGCTCGTCTGCGCTCTAGGCGCACTAGAAAACTAACTTTAGTGACTAAGGAAGCGGAGCGATAATAAGATGCTTGGAAGAGACGACGCCCCGCATTACTTAAGCTGCCAGTGCCTACGGTAATTAGGAACAAATTATCCGACGATCGCTCTATCTGGATGTCTTTTCTCGGGGCACTCAACTTCTTCTTCTGGGAGTTTTTTTTTTATTTTTCTTTTTTTTTTTGACGGCATATTTTTGTTGGGCTTTGTTGAGCTCACATCAATCGGAATACAAAGGCATTACTTTCTCTCTCGAGGGGAGGGGGGGGGGGGGGGGGGGGGGGGCCTTTCTCGGGTCCCCGCCCCCTCCTATGACATTTTACTAGTTAAAAAATAGTTCAATACGTGGAGGTTTCAAACGTTACTAGTATTGCTCTTTTTAGGCGTTGTGTGTCACATTTTGCCAAAAACGTTAAGGCGTTGGGTGTAGGAGACGTAATACAGCTATTATTGTTTCAAAACGCAGTCTCACGTGGTGCCCTCCGGCGCAGAAAGAGGGCGCGTCACGATTTATTATTAGATATTTATTAGAGAAAATCGGCCGCCCAAGAATGTAATTTGGATTATTTGAAGACGTTTAGAGCCGGTAGATTGAGTTATCACCATAAAAAGACGATTTCAAAATCCACTTGAGTGCCACCTTTAAAGTTTCTAAAGGGGATTCGCTGGCTCTTTTAACTTCCAGAGACCTGTGTTCACGCTAACACCTTAGTTACACGAGCACCTTTAACCGCAGTTAAGTGACTGAGGTCAGACCTAACTGCGGTTAAGGGTGTCCGACAGGCATCCCAAAAACCGCAGGTCCGCTTAAGTATGGTGAGCAGTTACTGCCAACTATACCATGGTCACACGAATACCTTTCAAGCGCAGCAACGTCTGACCTTAATCTCACCTGAGTGTGGTTAAAGATGGCCGTGTAACTAGGCTATGAGTGTGGCCTCGTTCTTTGTGCCTACCTCTCTCTCTCTCTCTCTCCACGATTTACGTGAGATATCTGAAGCTGCTAATACAATGTACAAAAAACAGTTTGCAGGCAGTGCCCGAGTCGCGTCTCTCCCATGACGTTCCCGTCACATCTGCCACACAAAAAAACGTCTGGAGACACATTGAAAGCACACACACACACGTATGGGATGAACATACTCCGAACGCATTTGAGCCGTGTTCGCAATATATGTTCTAGTCACGTCTGGAACAAAACATCGTGTCTATTGCACTATGTATACGAGCAGCTCGCGACTGTGGTTCAAAAGACACCCCCGGGGGAACTCGCGGGCGAGCGATGAGCTCGCTCGCTGCAACGTTGGAACTTTCGGTGTTTGCCGCGCTCACTCACGAGCCATTGTCTCCGCTTCTATAATTAAAACGATTTTCCGCTTCGTACGTTTTTTTGTAGTTGTTCCACTTTGTCACCCTTCCATGCACACTCTCCGCGCCGGATATGAAGCACTCCACACTTCCGCGTTATGTCGTTTCGTTGTTCCTTCTTTCAATATAATTGTTTTCGAGAAGGGCACACGCTGACGTGTTCAGCTCCCGCGCTTCGGAAAACAATTGCTCGCGAGACCTTGTCCGCAACGCCCTCGTTTTCAAGGGCGCGCGCGCTCACGCGGTTCCGCGACCGGCCCGCGTTTCTAATTCCGAGATTAGCTGCCCGTTCTCCGTGTGTTCTCCCGCTTTAGTCTTTCGTCCTTTAAAAAGGCCACGCTCCTTTTACCGCTAAGCGGACAGTGCGGAGGGAGCACTACGGGCCCGCCGGAACAATCACCCGCCTTCCATTCATCGCATCGCTCCGCCCTCTGCGCGTGGGTGTATGGATCGCTAGCGTGACACGTGGAAAACGATGGACGCGTGGCTGGCATAGCGAGCATGTATAGCTTTCACCGAACTGTCAGCTTAAGGGAAAGCGGAGTATGGGGAGGGCTTGTTTATGAAAGCCCTGGGACCCGGCGAACGATCCTCTCGAAAAGTGCCTCGTATAGTGGACTACTAGCGAACGAAGCGCCGGGTATTGGAATCACCCACTTTGTTATGCGTAGATTTGGCCGCGCAAATTTACTCGAATATTCCGCGTTGTGTCCGCACCCGACACGCGTATTCGGGAGCACGACATAGCAATATTTATGTAAATGTCCTCTTCACAATGCGTAAAAACTGAAACGTATTTTTGTTTCTAACTAACGTGTGTGCGTTAGGAATATGTTCGATTCCCGTGAACTAGTCGAATATTCTGAACAAATTTCTATTGAAATGTCTGCCATGAATGCGCTAATCTAAAGTGTGCTTTTGCATCCATTTTGTATTAATGACCTTCGAGGTACTTGAGCTTCCCCGACAAACTTCTGCACTTGCGTCGCTTCCCGATCCTCCATGGTGTCGTACTCTAGTCCTTGCGAATTATGCGCATGACCGGTCACGTTTAAAGACCGAAGGCGTACTGCCCAAATTAAGGTTGACGGCACATAGCATTAGGGTTATGGTATCGCCTGAACTCTAGGCTGAGCTAAATCTTCTGAATGAGTTGTTGGACTATTCCTTGGTTAACAAAAACGACTGCAGGAGGAATATTTTTTTAAAGGTTTGTTCATTTTTATTTTACATACACGCACAAGCCTTAATTGAGGGCTAGCTGGCGGGTTTCAGGAATGGTTCTTATTTATATCTATTTGTGCGTTATAATTCTTAACTAAAACATTTGGAAAGTATCGCTATTAAAAAAGAAGAGAAGGCAGAGAATATGAAACAAAACAGGGGACTAAAAAAAAACAATAAATTATTTTGGGAAAAAACGAACAAAAACATGCACTAAATATCATATGATATAATGACACTTAAAATTATTCGTGGAGTGTGCTCGAGGTAAGTGGTTATATTATAAATTAATATCTTTAACTCGCGAAATTGTTATTTGCGAGAGCTATATGAAACAGGCCAAAATGTTTTTTTTTTTTTTTTATAAATAAAGTGTTTCGTCGAAAAGAAAATTTGAAGAAATAATCTATCAGCCAAGTAGTAAATACTCAAGTGCTTAGTTAATTATTGCTTGTAAGAATTTTGTGGAGACAAACTATGGGTTTGCACCCAGCTTGGGAAAAATGGAATGAAACCAGTCGGCAAAACTTCTATACGTGTTTACTTCCACACCGTCAAGGGTAACTATGTTTCTCACGCTATATATGCCAAAAAAATTGTTCAACTTTTGCGTCGTTTGATCTATAAATAAATATCAATAGTTGCACTTGAATCACACGAAGTCAAATATTCACTGCACCGCAAAGTGCATAAAAATATAAAACACATTGTACACAGCGTTACAATTGCAGACAGCCTAAAATGACGTTTTTGGATCCGTGGCAGGACATGGTGTACCAAGCTTTCAGCTGCGTGCGTGAAGCTTCTTGTGCTCTAAGTAACGTTTAAATAAAACATAATTGCCCGTTTTATTAATTATGTTCTGAAATTTGAACCACAAATAATTCACCGGTAGTATAAGGGCCCCCATTAACCCCACAATATATTTTTACTGTCTTATTTTTAATCCTTTCAAAGATACTCATTGCCAACAATCGCACCTAGAACATATTTTTGTGTGTGCTGTGCTCCCTTACATCATTCTGTTTACGCCAGACCAGGTCCATACCGGCTTCAAACCCAATACCAAGTACCTAAAAACAAAAATGAACATACCCCTTCTTCCCCCCCCCCCCCCCCCCCCAATTCCTCGCGCCAATAACGCAGCAGGCGTACAACCCTTCAATATCCCTGATAACCAGGATGTCTGGGAGCCGCTACGCACAAAAGCATACCACCGCCCTGCCCCCCCCCCCCCCTCCCTCCCCCTCCCCCCTCTCGCATAAAAGAGCGCGGGAACCACCATCGAAACGCGCTGTTACGTGACAAAAATTGCTTCGCACCCCTTGATGCGGTCGTATACAGTCCCCATTGTTCGCTCGAGCCAACGATTCTCCGCGCAAGCAGCAGCAGCAGCAGCTGCAATACCAGACCATACGCAGCATCCGAACTGCACCGGTCCCAGTCGCGGCGAGAAAGGGTAGCTGCGGAGGAGGAGGGACGGCCGAATCCCCGCCGCGTCGCCGCCATGCTAAACGGCGTCATGGCGGATCGAGTCGCGTCGCCGCGGCAACCGCTTCGCGGCGCCGCGGAGCGTCACGTGACGAGTCACGTGGCTCGAAGCTCGCCACTGCAGATCCGCGGCGGCCGCCATTTGCCCCGGGGGTCCCGTTAGCGTCGAGTGGAGCAGCGCCCGCAAGCCCCGCTCGGAGAAACGGAGGGTGCCATGGGCGGCGGTGGCTACCTCTTGCTCGTGCTCAACCCGCCCTGGTCGCCCGACCACAAGGAGCCCATCCTGCAGCGCGTCGCTAAAGGTGAGCCTCCCCTAGAAGCCCCGAACAATTAATCGGTTAATATTCGGCCATGTTTTGACCGAGCCCCCGGTGCACGCCCGGCGATTCGGGTAGCAGACGGAAATTCGGTTCCGCCTTAAACGCACGTCTTCCTCAAGTCCCCCCCAACTTTTTTTATTCTTTCCTCCCCGAGATTTGAGGCCCAGCCTCGAGTTTAACCTGTGAACTAACTATATCTCCCTTTTCGATATTTCGAGTTTTTTGAGCCTTCGTTTTAGGAGGATTAGTTGGCAGACCGTTTCACGCGACCGCTCAATCGAACTTCCGGTTCGGGAGTGTTGCAGTGTATGGGTAATCAAGCTTGCGCACTCTTTCCTTTTCTTTCTTTTGTATTGTGCGTGTTTTTTTAAACGGGGGTATGATGTGGTTCGGCATTGCGGCAATATTTTTGTCGGTTCGAACCTTCGGCTGCACGAAGATCGGATTGAGGTTACAGCTGTAGCGACAGTACTGTCTCGACCCAACCGATTCCGGCTGCGGCGGCTTGGCGGTGTCGATGCGTAGCGCAGGGCGGTCGCCACTACCCTTCTCTTCTGGGAGGGGCCGCCTTCGATTGTGAATGAAACGACAACGATCTGATTTCCCATGAAGACAGATAGCTATCCCTTCCCTTGTAACGCAAATACGGACCTCTAAACGGAGCTCTTTCTTCAAGGTGTAATACGTTTATGACGTTAAAAAACTTTAAAAAATAAAAAATAAATAAAACTTCTTCTAAACTTTAGTACTTGCTCAAAGTTGTTTATTAGTATGCACTTTAAAGATCCCGTGGTTTGGCGTAATTTTTACTAATGTTATCTGTTAGAAAAGCGCGAACCATCGCAGGTTAGTAGAGTTTGTCGATCGGCTTCTCCACTGTGCACGGGTATTGTGCAGTGAAGCGTACGTGGGGGCGCAGGCGTGACACGTCGCGCCCTCGATCTTTTTTTCTTTCTTTCATTTTTTTTTTTCTGGACTTGTCGCCGCTTCGCTTGTAGTTTTGTTCATACTATTTCTGTCTCCTGGTCAACCCGGAAATGACGCACCTCGTAGCAAAGTTTTGAAACAAGTTTGAGCAACCAGACGTCATCTCATTCTTGTTTTTTGTTTTGTTTTGTTTTTAGCTTTTTTAGCGTCGTTTCTCGTTCACACTGAAACACTTCCTCCGCGCTCGAGAACGTTTCCTTAACGGCCTTGAACGATGTCTGGTACCGTTTTGTACCGTCTGGCGACGGTTGACGACCTCCTTTGTCCTTGTTTTTGTTCTATTTTACGTTCTTACTTTTTTTGGCCTTTGTTTTTTTGCTCCTTGGTTTCAAACGCGGATGTTTACATTTCATCCCGTCAAAGCCAAGAGAGATATCGATCGCTGAAACAAACACTTTTTCGTTTGTAGCTCTTTCTACGCGCCGAAAACAGGCGTGATCTAAATACGGTTCTTATCGATTATTGGCAGAAACGGAAATTCTCGAAGGCAGGTGTCTTCAGATACGCCAAGGGAACAGTTTGTAGAACCTTGTGTTTTCGGGTCGGATCTTTGGCAAAAATAGCTAGAGTCACTGACAGCCAATCAAATTGCGGCTTTAAACGATAAGCTGAAGAGCCAATCGCGAAGCGAAAAACATGAACATATTAAAATAGGTCACACTCTGCATTTCTTAAGCTCTCAGAGATTATAGTTCATCTAAGATACCATCTAATGTTCCTCTAATACGACTGACATTTGTGTGATTGGCCAATCAGCTCGCAATCTGTCGCGCGTGGAATGCGCTACGTCCGGAGTGTCGCGCGCTGATTGGCCGTCCGCTCAAATATCATTCGTTGTAAATGGAATTCGAGTTGCCCGTGTGGCACGGGTATAAGATGATAATTATATATTTCTAATCAGATAGTGTTAGTTTTACACCCGTGCCACACGGGCAACTCAAATGCCATTTACAACGAATGACATTTGAACGATCGGCCAATCAGCGCGCGACACTTCGAGCGTGGGGCGTTCCACACGCGACAGATCGCGAGCCGATTCGTCGATCACACATATGTCATTCGTAGTAAATGGCATTCGGGTTGCCCGTGTGGCACGGGTATAGCTCTGAGCTGTAGCCAGGAATTCAAATATGCGCAAACGAGATTTCTGCGCTATGCCCTTTTTTAAATCTATATATTAGTTCTTAACCTTGAAACCAAACTGAAAGCGTCAATTAGAGAAAAAAAAAAATTGCGACATTTTTGGTGTTACTTTAAATTTTTTTAAGACCTAACTTTCTGGTTCAAAAACATTCAAATATTTTACAACAGTTAGAGATTATTGTAGCCCGAGGCCATGGTATTTTTATCACCTGAAGACAGCTGCCTATTTTACAATTACTCGAGTAAATACGGTATGTATTTACTCGAGTAATAGCCGAACTGTTTATGAAGAAAACCGGAGGGTTCGCTTTTCCGCGGAGCACGCAGATTGCCAATCACCGCGATCGACATCATGATTCCAGCTGTTTGCAGGACAGAGACAACGTCTTCGTGCAGAGATACCATCTGTAAAGATTGCATTTGCATGAAGAATAATGTCCTCGATCTCGTTATTCGCTATGTTATTTATGCGCAACGCAATGATTGGCTGTATATGTGTTCTGTGGGAAAGTAGACGCAAGGGCCTTGTTCATAAATAGTGCGGCTATTACTCATGTAAATACGGTATATTTACTTTTTATTGTTTTATTGTAGCTACGTTTACGACAACCATATACTCAGGGTGTTTTTGCCACCTTCGAGTCTTTCTGAGAATTTAACCAACAGCACGTGGTAAACGGAAACCCGTCTTTTTTTTTTTACATTTTCTGATTGGTATTAAATAAAATATTTCTAAGAATTTATTTCTAGACCATGCACTCGGTCTTCAGTTTTCGATTATTATTATTAGTTTTTTTGCTTCATCACTCGCTTACTCTACTTACTGGGTAGCAGTAATTACGTCTCCAATTGTTCAGCGGGAAAACAGACGCGCCAGCCTCGTTCATCGAAAAAGCCGGAGTCACACTGCCTATAGGGTGTATTCACTGGCCGCCATATTTGAGGGCGATGTCTAGAGCGCATGCTCGGAACGAGCTCACATTAATAGACTGCTAAGACCGCCACTTTTGATGGTGCGGAATGCACGTTGCAAAAGAATTGCAGAAGCTCGCCGTCAACAAACGCTCAGCAGCCACGCACACAGCTATGGCCGCCAGTGAATACTCCCTATATACCCGACAAAAGACAGTCTGCGTATACAGATTCGAACGCGAGTCACCGCGAGATCCGTGCTTCGAATGCCGCATGGCAATGAGCTCCAGAAGAAAACTGAGGCACACGGCATTTGAACCACGGATATTGTGGTGACTCGAAAAAGAAAAGAAAAAGAAGTCGACTTGGGTTTACGCGAGGGTATGCGCACGCGCTGACCCGACAGCAGCGCCACCGCGTAGTGGCGTGACCTCAGAGCCGTGCGTTGGTTTATATGTCGCTGAGGGGAGGCGATATTAACCGTTCCATAACCTCGTTTCAAAGTTTTTTGAGCACGGAAATATTGACAAACTGACGAGCCTTACGTTTCATCCGCTAATGACGTCAAGGTCACAGTTCATTGTTTTTCTTCTTAAGCGTAAACATTGCGTAGATTGCAGCCATTGGTTCTCACGAGGGTTTTGCGGGAAAGTATACGTGTACCGGAGATTTCCTAGGGTGGTTATAATGACTGACAGCTGTTTCTCCCCTTGTATACGACAATTCTATCAAATTAGTCGCAGAAAAAAAAAAGACTGTCAGCCGAAAATATTCGAATTATACCCGTGTACGAAATGAACATGCTTCCAACATTTGTGAGGTGTGAGCGCACATAATTCTATTATCGTCTGTGCAGCGAACGCTTGTCTTTCGTGGGATGTTCGAGCAGCGCATGATCGACGGCGGCTTTAAGCTGCCGCAGTGACTATGCGTAGCGCAAGTTCGTCTGCTTCTTTTGGCAAGGGTCGTGGTGACGTCAAAAAGACGCCGAGCTATGATTGGCTCTGATTGAAGGATAGTGCGTAGACCTCAAAGGAAGCTGCCTCGAGGCCTATACCTACTATCCTTCAATCGGAGCCAATCAGAGCTTGGCATCGTTGTGACGTCACCCCACACCACCACCAAAAGAAGCAGACCAACTTGCGCTCCGCATGGTCGGCAGTTTTCGGAGCCCAGACGATTCCCTTTTTTTTTTTCTTTTCTTACTATCCGCCAGCCTGCTATCGTAATGTAACGCCAACGTCATCTTATTTCTGATTCCTCGAGTTCCCGCGGCTAATAAGGCGAGTGATCGAAACTCGGTCCTCCCGGGAATGTTTCCCTAATCCCGTGCAACTCCGGTCGATATGGCGAGCTATACTATACCGTCTGGGGGATCAGGCCTAACTCCTTTCAAAATAAATCTATGGTACCCGCCAATTGCGCGCTTTTGTTTTCGTCTCTTTTGCTTGCTCGTTTATCGGTTCGTTTTATTTTCTTAGCGGTCTTTAGTTTTCTTTTTTTTTTTCAGTCACTTCTGAGTGAGATTGTAATACGACCTTCGTCCTTCAGAGCGAGACAGGGTGCGTTTATTTATATGGAGCTCTTCCCCGTGTCGCTGAATTTAGTGGCGTTCACCGTTGACCCAGATTAAGAGTACGTCCGAGTTGTGCTTTCGGAAATCTGTGCTTTTCAGACGCAGGTTCGATATTCGCTGAATATAGGAGCTCCATTGCGGGAGTGATGTTTCATATTTGTAATCGCCGCAATCCTCCACCGGAGAGCACGCGAAATATTGACTAAATTTAATTTCCCACCTCGTCAAAGACTCGCTTGTGTGTAGCAAATATCCTCAATGTATTGGTCTACTTCAAAAAAAATAAAAAATAAAAAACCTCCAAACTCTGTAAACACAAGGAAAGGCACTGATGCATAAGTAAATTAAAGGGCACAAGTGGCGA